GGATAATGTTGAGAAAACACGTAACTGAAAGCCTTGCAACATCTCATGAAGTCCTTGAGACCAATGTTTCGCAACGACTCCGACCTGCCGTAGTTGTGCTACCTGCTGCCTACGCGATGGGGTGGGCTGTTGTCCTTTAGGACATTTGGAGTTTGAAGTTGAGTGCACCTTTCCGGGTTTATGATGAGCATTTTGTCCCCAGCTCAGAAAGTCTGACACAGGCACTTTGCACTGTGTGGGATGGAGTACAGAAAAACTCCGTCACCTTCCACAAACAACCCCCAAAAAGACTTGTACGAAGTCTTGCTGAAATATACCTGGAGGCTCATACCCTACCCCTTTTTTTAGGATGCGTAGCTTTGACGGCTAGGATCTGTTGCAAAACAAAGGTAGATACCCTAAAACAGGGGTCGGGTAGGGTATGAGCCTACAGGTAAAGTGAGAGACCGACATTTCAAAGGCTTCACAGCTCACTTGGTGCAGAGTCTTCGGGGAGTTCTCGCTTTTGAGCAAGATCCGCCTGGGTTTCTGTCTAAGATCTGGGCCCGATTGCGGGGCAGCTGATCCCATGATTTATGCAATGCTCCTAAAGGGAACTCCAGAAAGTTGGAATATGGATCAATGGTAGGATCCCCTATAATTTTCCCTAAAGGGGTTACGATAATGATATTCCAACTTTCTGGCTTCTACTGTAACCCTAAGCCCTACACCCTCAAACCCTTAAGCCCTTAAATCCAGAAGCCTTTGAACCTATAACCCCGAAAGCCCAGTCCCCGAAGTTGAGCCCTAAACCTTTACAAACCTTTGAGAAATAAACCTCTAACCCTGAAACCCTAAACCAAGGCGGAACTGTTTTTTTTCTGAGTTTCGGGAGAGAAGCCACCGGATGAGCTCTAACTGCAAAGCCCTTGAGCGAAGACGATACCTGACCCTACTCGGAGGTTCAGGCGTAGTTCTAAGCAGGGTTATAATACCCTTGATATGAGTTATAAGTATAGTTACCCTACTTATAAGCGCACTTATAACTACCCATGAACCTCCAAGTAATCTACAAGCATGGATAGTGGCTAACACTTTCCTTGGGGCTCCTTCTAATAACTACACATTTTCGACCAGAGCCCGGTTCGAATGATTAAGGCTCCAATATTAAACCTTGAGCCTCTGTGGTTCGTCTGGCAGGTTCAACGATGTTTTCACAGACGACCAGCTGTGGATGCAAAGGTGCGTTGTGGGCCCAGTGGCTCGGAATTCGTGAGGGCAGAGCTTTTGGTTGGTCCTTTCTGAGAAGTCAAGGTTTTGGGTCTTGAATGTTGAGCGGGACTCGGGTTTAAACAGCTGAGGCTAGAGCAGAGGGGGTGCTTGCTTGGCCATTACTTTACATGTTCGTCCGCAGTCAGGACAGCCGGGTGCAGTTGCTGTGGGCAGCAATGGCCAGCATGTTCATCATCTGGGACATGGTGACCATTCCGCTACTCGGTTCAGGCGATTCAGGCTACTCAGTAACTACAAACATCTGCGCCACCTGCCATCATTGCCATTAGGGGTTCCTTTGGGGTTCGTATCAGGGGTACTAAGGGCCCTATACGGCTTCCCTAGAGATCCCTCAAAGGAGCCCTAGAGGAACCCTTAAAGGAACCCCTATAGATCCCTTAAAGGAGCCCTTATTATTATCAGCATTATTCGTATTATCATTATCCCTTAAGTCCCTAAAGGAACCCCTATAAATTCCTTGAAGGAGGCCCCCCCTGATTACCATCATGGCTTTGGATTTCGCGCTGTGGGGTGAGCTCTGAGCTGCTTCAGCTCGCAGAAACCCTTCAACCTTAGACCCAAAACACCACTGTCGCCGCGGAGAAAGGTCATTGCATTAAAAAGAAAAACCAGAGCCTGGACCGTAGACCCTAAAGCCCAAACCCAGGAGGTTTAGGGGTTTCGGGGTTTATGCGGGCGTTTTAAGAGTTAGGGTTCAGTCTAGAGGTTTAGGGTTTAGGGTTCGGGCTTAAGAGTTTCATTGTTACATTCTCCGGATCCGCATGTCAAAGTCCATAGGATAGCCATAAACCCTTAACCCTACACCCTAAGCCCTTCAAACCCTAAACCCCAAACCCTGAACCCTAAACCCCAAGCCCTAAATCCCAAAACCCTAAACCCTAAACCCTAAGGCCCTCAGCCCCAAACCCTAAACGGTACACCGCAAGCTTTTTCCTCGACCCAATTTTCTTAGCTCACTTTGCATCCTGAAAGGTTTGGGGTTGAGGAGCGAGGGTTCCGGATTTAGGGGTTTGGGGTTCAGGGCTTTAAGGTTGAGAGGTTTGGTGCAGGGTTGGCTTGTTGTTTTTGGGTGTTGCTCTTGTCGGACGTCCTTCTTCCAAGAGCACCAACTGCGAGATCCAAAAGCTTCGCATCCATCGAAACGCAGTGGTAGAGTAGGTGACTTTTAACCTTTTCCGGGCGCTACAGCCCTTATGTTCATACCAATATAATATATTCCCAAACGTTAGCCTTGAGTTCCCTTCAACACTGGACAAGTAGGTATTAGTTATTAGTTTATATACTATTGGCAAGTGTGTCTGAGGCTGCAGCTGTTCCCGCTGAATCTGGCGCCGGGGAGGGGGGGGGGTCTGGTTGCAAGAACAGAACGTGGCTTGAGGTCGTGAGGCATCAGGTTTCCCATCTTTCCGAAGGATGTCGGCCTGCTGGAATGAATGTGTGTCTGCGACTTCTGCTGCTGCTGCTGCTGCCACCCACTACGACGACGACTCATACAACGACGACGACGACGACGACTACTTCGACGACGACTGCTACTGCTACTGCTGCCAGTGCTTCTGGTCCTATTCTTCATAATTTCAATTCCCGCAGGCGTTACATGAACCAAGAATCTGAGGGGTTGATTTCACCGAACCCTGAACCGGCAGCATTTATGGTGGAGGGTTCAGGCTTTACTGGGTTCAGGGTGTAAGAGATGCGGCTTGGTGTACAATTGCAGTCAGTCTACGGTGCAGTTGAAGTCGCAGTCCTGTGTATGAGCGTGTCTCAGAAATTATCTTGTATGGAGTTTTGATGGTGAACCGTTTACTGCAAAGTATGCGTCGGAAAATGTTGGTCCTGTCGCGTGCTTGCATCTGCCTTGTTGTACGCGAATTCAATGCATCAGGAATGCGTGGTCCACTCACCGAAGCAGTTGAGTTCCATGGTAATTGTTTCTGCTTGGTCATGCTTGATTACTACATTCTTCAGATTGTCAGTATCATTATACCGGTTACTAGTCCTCTCCACTTGTTTCGATGTTGCAGGCGCTCGAGAACACAATCAACACGATTACACACGTCTCTTTCGTCTACTGGGTCCTGGACGAAGCTGGGCCGTAGAGTTCTATGCTTTTCAAAGCTGCCTAGATTCCCGGTCCCAGACGCTATCTAAATCCAAGCCCCCAAAGCATAATTCCCGAACCCCAACCCTCAACCCCTCACCCTTAACCCCGAACCCTAAACACTAAATCCCACCCTCAACCCCAGAGCACGGTCTTTGCGTGAGGGCCCAGTTTTTCCGAGTGAGAGGTTAGGGTTTGGCGTTTCGGGTTTAGGGGTTTAGTAAAATTTAGGGGTTTAGGGCTGTAGGGGTTTAGGATTTAGGGTTGTCCCAGCTTGGTTGTGGATGGCTCCGCACAGCATTGTCTTCTACGAGCCCCAAGCCTCAGACGCACGAAAACCTGACTGCAGAATATGTGGGCCTGAATGATTCGAGCAGGTTTTTGGGTACATCATACTATGGCTATGATACGGACCCTTCCCAAAATAGTAGGGGTGTTTATTTAGGCTCCCATAGTACCTCCAGAAGGGAATATCGACATTTCTGCATCCGCCGTCCCGAGACAATGCAACACCTCTTATTGCGGCTTGCAGCAACAGTGATCGTCGCAACACTGACGAAAGCAGCGCCACTTGAAATCGAGGCGAGATTAGAAAGAAGCGATTTGTAGTACGAGCAGCAGATGTGCGATAGTACTATCAACAGCAAACATGACAGAAAGCGCATAAACTGAGGTGCCGCTTCATTTCATCTTTGGCGTTCAGGTGCCCATTTCACGAGTGAAAAGCTCCGTAGGGTTTGATATCAAAGGCTTGTGCTTGTAGCCATCGTAGACCTTGACAGGGGGACATCTTGTAGTTAGCACTCACTTGCTGGCCGTCCTATGTTTTCCAGGCTTCCCAGTCCCGGCCTCTTCCTTTTGCAGGATGCGCAAAGGTAGGATTTGGAGAGTAATCTAACCTGCTCAGCGCAATCGCGACATCACGTTGTTGTACGCGGCACAATCGCACCTTGTTTTCATCCCGTGGAAATATACACTAACACATGGAGATGTGGCATAGTCACCGAATTAAACCCTCAAAGCCTCAAGCCTTACACAGAAATCCCACACGCTTCATGCCGCAATCTGAAATCTACCAAGCCCCCAGTTTTGAGGCTGAAGACTGCCTCTACCCCCATACCCCAAACCCTAGACTCTAGACCCTGAAACACGGAACCTTATAGCACGTGCCTGCGCAAACCCTTGTACACCTACTATAGGGGCCTAAATAGTTAATTACCTCTACTATTTTGGGGGCTCCTTCTTAAAACTATAGTCTATAGTATAATGGGCCCCAAGACCCTATTCTAATTATTAAGGCCCCGAGAGCATTCTCATGAGTTTCCCTTTTACTACCGGCTCTCGCTTCGCTTGGAGGTATTTTTGTTGCGGACTTGCTTTATCTGCAAGTTGCCACCTTAATGACCCTAGACTATGTGATGTATGGTATGTTGCTTATTATGGGTAATGCACGATTTCTATCATCAACAGTAATTAATACGGATATATCGGAAAGCCAGTTCAGGATCAGAACCCCAGCCTATGCCAGGCGAAGGGTGTAGGGAGTTCTGCGATTCTCGGACGTCTCCACTACTGAGTTACTGGTTGCATCCAGCCAAGCTGTTGAAAGGTCGGTGGTGCGATCGAGATGAGGCAGGAGCCGTGGTGATATACTGTGTATGTACAAGTGCGCGTCTGTCACTGTACGTCGGTCTCTCTCTCTCTCTCTCTGCGTCCGTCCGTCCGTCCGTCTGCACGTCCCATCCGTCTGTCTGTATGTATATTTTTCTGTGTATGTATACAGTTATATGTATGCATGTATGTATGTACGTAGGTAGGTATGTATAGTAATGTATACACAGGGAGAGACCACAAGATACAGGCAGAGAGCGAAAGAGAGATATGTAAGTATGTATCTATATATATATATGTATGTGTGTGTACATATTGTTCATATATATATATATACACATGTATACAGATAGACAAATAGGTAGATATACAAAGATAAAAAGACAGAAGGAAATAGCAATCGAGACAGAGAGAGAGAGAGAGACAAAGAGACATCCATATACATACATATATATATATGTGTATATATATACACATGTGTATATAGACAGAGACGCAGAGACAGCGAGAGGGATGGATAGAGATAGATCGATCGACAGAGCATGCCAACAGGTCGATTCATCGGTAGTTCGAGAGATAGATAGGTAGGTAGGTAGGCAGCCAGGTCGGCAGATAGAGACACATAGACAGATATTAAGCGCACACACACAGACAGAGAGAGTGGCAGACTGATCGGTGGATGCGTGGATATGTATGCACGGGAGTGGTTGACTTCTGTGTGTCTGTGCATGCCTGATTGAGTACAAGTACAGATGCGAATACAAGTGCGTTTGTCTACCCATGGATTTCTGTGCATCTGTGTATTGGTTATTGTGACTTCCTGGACATCCGGATGATGGGGCAACTCTAAACGCCCGGAAAACGTCTAAACAGCGGGAAGCTTGCCCGCTGCGGTGAAGGCCGCAGAAGCTGTTCAAGATCTATCTCCGGTCCTGGCTGCTCGCGGCGACCTCGGAGTGGATCTTTGATGCCAAAGGGTCCTATGTACCGATATAGTAGAATGTAGGGTTTCCATATTAGGAATTACGGTTATGACTTAGGGAGGTATTCCCCATAACAGTACATAGGACCCTTTGGGTTGATGCCCAAGTGCAATTCCTTGAAGATCTAGGTTCCTGAGTAGTACCTTTTTGCCCACTAGAGCCGAATAATAGGAGAAAGGGTACCCTCATTAAAAAGGGGCTACCCAGGAACCTAGACATCTAATGACTGCATAACTCAGTAGGCTGGTGTTTGATTTCAGGGCGCGTGAAAATTTAGTTTTCCACTATAGAGCACAGAAGAAGTTTCCAGATAACCCACGGTATTCTGCCAGTTCGCTCAAGTCCGGCCTTTTGCCGCCCAATCTTGAACTCAATGCTGAAGTTGGAACATTGCCCCAAACCCCAGATGCTTGCCTTTTCGGGAGCTTTCGAATTGGAAGTCATTGTTGAGCAAGGCCGATTTCATCGTAATCTTGGTGGATACAACCGTCATTGTCCTGGCCACCTTGGAGGCGGGGAGCAAGTTGAAGTCAAGAATTGACATATCGATTATAGGTCCTGAATGCTTGCCCATACTCCAAAGCCGGCTGCTCCTTTGGTTTTGAGGTCTGTTAACGGGCTTTTGGTGGTGAAATCGTGTTATTTTTGGCCTCCGGTGTTTTGCAGTCGCTAGATGCTTTTGGGACGTAGGTTAGGGCTCTCATACGGTTCAAGGATCAGGGTTGTTGGGAATCTCACACTCGATTGCTGGTCCGAACGGTGCGTCGTGCAAAAGGCGTTGGAAGCAACGATCCATCTTCTTGAATGCCCAAACTCTAAACTCTGCACCAAAATAAGAAGACTGCCCACAACCCGAAGCGGCGGCAGACCATGAATTCCTCAATCTCTGCATCGTCGGCTCAACGCAATTGACGCCGTGCGCAGAGACTGCTACGTTCAGGGTTTACATAGCTTGTCGCGAGTTATCAACTAAAGAGGCCCACAAAGCGCAGCTTGATTGAAGTCCGAAAACCTTCAAAGTGTTGACACAGACGAAGACTCGGAGAACCTGGTCAGATTATACAGATTAGCAGTAATATCCCTCTATAGTCCCTAGTAGAATGATGGCAAAATGCAACCCGAAACTCCTTTCGAGCTCATTGAGCCCTTTTGGTACCCCCGACACCCGAACCGCTGTGCCCTGGCCTCCTGGGACAGGCCTCCACAAATCCGCTTTACCGATCAGGCCTGCAACAGGGTTCTCATCTGGCTTAGGGCCTAGGGTTGCTACAGGGGTTTAGGGTTTATAGGGTTACTATATGGGCTTAGGGTTAAGGGGAAACTATTGGGTCTTCAGAAAGGTTCAGGGATTGGGATCGAGAGCTCACACGGGTTCGGGGTGTTAAGATTTAAAGCTTTTGGTTTTAGGTTTTGAGGGTCCAGGAGTTGCAGCTGGCTATGCGTTTCTGCGAGAACTGCTGTCGCAAAAAATGTCTGAAGGAACAACCCTCCTGGAATCTCGAGCCATACTCTTAATGATATGCAAGGGCCATTAAGGTAATGCAGGATTTGTATCATCAACCGTATATCCCGAAACCCTAAACCCTAAAGCTAAACCCTAAACCCTAAAACCCCTCTACAAACCCAATTAATACCTCCTCTCGACTCAGGCCGTTTCGTGCGCGGCCTCCGCATGGTTCGACTGATACGGCTCCTGCGCGTCGCGAAGCTGGAGCGCGAGCTCGCCTCATGCAGTTGGAGATGTTGTTGCATCTTGGGAATTTTCGGGTTTGGAGAGGTATTGTGGGTTTAGGGCTTCAGGGTTTAGGTTTAATTACGGTTTGAGCGTTTCTATATGGGGTTCTGACAGGGGTTCTATCAGGTTTCTATAAGGGTTTTATCAGGTCCTAGAAGGGTTCTACAAGGGGAGGTTGGTGCGTCGTGGGATCTCAGGGTTTGGGGCGCAGGGAGCACTAGAGCCTCTGGTCCCCTCCCCTTGTTTCAGTGGATCCCTGGAGGAATCTTTTGACCGTTGATGGTTGTGAAGCCTGAGGATTGCATGAAACTTGGGTTACTTGGGTTTGGGGTTGAGGGTCTCGGGTTTATAGGGTCTAGGACTCAGGATTCAGGGTTCAGAGTCTAGGGTTTGGGGTTCAGTGTTCAGGGTTTGGGTAGAGGGTTTGGGTAATCATAGAAGGGAGGCTTGAGGGCTAGGGTTTCAACAGAACCACTGCTCAGACTTCCCCGGAAGACGCCAAAGCTCCTAAGGTCCAAAATCCCAAGCCCTTAAGGGCACATGGCCCTATACGCAAAACCCCCCGGCCCCCGGCAAAAGCACCTATGCCTGAACATGACCCAAGCATTAGCGGTAGAGTTCCGGATGATACCTTTGTGAAACTGCAGCATACCCCAAAACCCCGTTCGGACTCTCAATGCTCTGAAAATTAGTCCCGGCAGCGACCAACCCGAAATTGTCTTCCAACACTTTCTTGCAAAACTCACTGAGTCATTAAGTTCTATAAATTCCAAAACCTCAGCCCTCGGCACACTGACCTTGTTCTTCAAGGTTCGAGTTTAGAATTTCGACTTTGGGTGTTTGGCCTTAAACCCTGAACCCCAAACCCTAAATCCTGAACCCCAAACCCTAAATCCTGAACCCGAAACCCTAAATCCTGGATAGTTAGGAGCCGACGCGGGCAGGCGCACAAAGAGACCGTCAACCTAACTTTAAAAAAAAAAAAGAACCCCAAACCCTGAACCCCAAGCCCTAATCCCCAAGCCCTAAACCCTAAATCCTGAACCGCCAAGTCAGGTTCATGCTGGTTGCCAACTATTTCCTCTCTGCTTACGGCATGATGGCCTTAAAGCTTGGCTGCTGAGCTATCCAATGGTAGAAACCAGAAAGGTTGGGACATGCGTGAAGAATGACTAGTGATGGATTTTCCTGAGTCGCCTAAATCTTTATGAAAGGGTACGAGCCTGGCTTCTGGTAGTCTTTGGGAGCTTCGGGTTGGACAAGGTTTAGGGTCATGTGTACAGCTGCAGGTTCAGGTTCTTTGGCAGCTGTAATGTCTCAACGGGTGGTTCTATAGGGCTCTGTCCAACAAAATGGGTGGCAATATAGAAGCCTGACTTGATTCCAAGACTTTCGCTTGAGGCCCGTATTCAAGCATGCTCTTAGGTGCCCTTAAACAGCATTCTAATGATTAATTAATGCCACAATTTTGATCTGCTGGCAATTTTCGTGGGATTTGCAGGAAGGCGCTACTGCTGATCACTGCTGGGTCCTTTCGAAGAGAATATCGGGTGTGTGGTTTGTGGTTTGGTCCTTGGCAAGAGGAGCTCATCAGTTTGAGCAACGATGGCAACACCATACAGCGTTGTCGCATGCTGTCTCTATCACGGTATCTTCCGTCACAGTATCTAATAAACATGAGTTGTGTGTCACGATGCCTGAAGGCATTGTGCATGAACCGCAGTGAGCAGTGTGCTTTTCTAGTTATTTCAGTTGCAGGAACTTAAATCTTCAAACGCATATTCTGCGCAAGCCTATATCCTACTCCCCAAGCCCGAGCCGTCACTCCTAATTACATGATGGTACCTTATCCCTTCACAAGTAGCCACAGCTCTTGAAGGCTTCGGGCTCGTGCGGCTCTGAAGGCCCACGATCACAAAACCTGTTCATGTATCTTTCATGTCGGGGTTTAGGGTTTTGGGGTTTTAAGGGTAAAGTTAAGATTTAGGGTAAGGTTTAGGGCCTTGTACCGTTTCTTGTGTCTTGGGGCTCGGAATACTTCTTGAACAGCGTGGGCAACTTCGGCTCAGAGCTTGAACTGAGGTTGGAAAGGGGCTCTCTAACTGCTTGAACAGTCCTCACTCCGCAAGAAGCCGTAAGCCGGCAAAATCCCGAACAAACCATCATCCCTGGCACCCCGACTCCATCGGAATGAAGAAACCCTGAACCCTGCCAATCTGTGATGCATTGTGGGTCTCCGTCATGACCAATACCATTCCTCTATATCTAAGTCTTGAATTAAATGCTCAACATTCTGACCCAACTAGTATAGGGGCGTAACTAAATATCAATACTATTTTTTGGGGGCTCCTTCTTATAACTATAGTATATCGGGTCCCACAACCCTGTTCTAATCATTGTGGGCCTTTCAGTTACAGGCTTCAAAGCTTTGATTTGAGGTTCCTACCTGGCGCTGATGCTCGCCGTCAACCACCTGATCGCTTGTTTCTGGTGCCATCCTGGTATTCGGGGTTTAGGGTTTAGGGTTTAGGGCGTGTAGCATCGCAAATCTTTAAGATAGCGGGTAAGTTCGAAGCCTCGAGGTCAAGACTCCGTAGGCTAAACTAATACGGAATTCAGAGCTCCAGAATCCTAAATATCGCCTACTTCCTTCTGCACGTTCAACCTGAGGCATGCGCCTGTCTATCGTTTTTGTAGCACCCGCATGTTCTCATGCCATCTCGGATGTTCCCCCTAAACCCTAAACCGGCCAACGCAGGTACGGTGTTGGAGTTTGGTCCAAAGACACCCGGCTGCGGGACGGTGCCTAGGATGCGAGTCAATATGCCTATATTAAGGATCCTACTTAGGGTGCTAATTTAGGGTCCCCCAGTTTAGGAAACTCCCATATTGTCAAGAAGTCATGCACGCGACCTTCGAAATTCTTTCTCCGTCATGGCTGCCCCAAGCCCTGGACCCTAATCTGGGTTCTTGTTATATAGGAGTTTCACACAAGTTACCATATTAGGGCTCTACAGTAAATGATTTGGTTTCCATGTTATTGTAACTTATCCTAAATCCCTTAACAAGAACCCAATATTTCGTTGCATCCATCAACTCTACGCGTGCAGTCTCGATCGACTGCATGGACCAGGTAATTGGCTGGAGCGGAGTGACATTGACGAGCACCGCGGCAAGTGAAGTGTATGGTCGGAATAAAAAAGGTACTTTCCCCTTACAGCCCTATGTAAGCATAGTGGTCTAGTGTGCACCAGCAAGAGGACTATTGTAATTATGAAGATCAATGGAGGAGATTGCCAGTCCTTCTGGTGAAGCTTGGCATTGTTAGATTAAATGATACCCGCGTGGTGAGCCAGTTAGTTTCTAATGCCGCTGGACCAGAAGCAAGGTGCCGCCTGGAAATCAGCCCTATTGACACCATCGTAGTCTGAATTGGAAGCTCACAGGAACCACCAAGACGCCGAAAGCTTTCGGGTTCGGGATGAGATCAGCAGATAGTGGCCACACGCTCAGCACTTCACATGTTAAAACTTTATGAAGATCTGAAAAGTCATAGCATCTCCAGTACCTTTGCAAGAGATGGTTTGGAGCAGACTCCTCGCAATGCAGCTGACATGCGATGGCCCACACACTGCCCACACACTGGGTATTCCGGCTCTCGGGCTGCCGGGTACTGCAAGTGATATAGGCGTCAGCATGACAATTGGATGAGTATCCCATTATGTAGTCCCTTGGCAACTATCGTCATTATAGCACAGCTCCTATACTGCTGCGCGTAGTTGTCGGCATCGAATCCCCTGCAACCTCTCAGTTTGTGGCTCATTATGGCTATGCATTATGGGCTTCAGGGTTCAGGATCCTAGAAATCCTGCCAAACCATACCCAAAGCCAACCCACAAGATTTTCCTGTAGCCGTCACCCCTCTAAACCCCAAACTAAACCCTGAACCTCAAGCTAAACCCTGAACCATCAAGGTCAGACTTTGGCGCATCCTACATCGCGGCCATGCACTGGAGCGGACTTTGTGTTGTGGGGAGGGAGCAAGTGACCTACTCAAGCAAAAGACAACATTGGCCTGGTACTGGCAATCAAACTCGAAAAGACATCGTGTTATGCCTTGCAGAAGTGTTGAGTTTGTACATGAGCCGTTATGCGCAATCCTATTCCGATTGCTTAGCCCTGTCACTGACCTAACCTTCCATGTGTAACGGGTCTCCCTGTAGACCACCGAACAACTCGGCACGCACTCCGGTACTAGCCCCGAAGACCGTAGATCCTGAATCCTACACTCTAAAGCCACTGACCTAGTCAGAGTGACTTTTCTCCGCTAAGGAGAAAGGTCCGGTACAAAAACACCCTCGTCCTGCATTCCGATTCGTGAGGCACTGAAGTAAGAAAAGAACAGTGGCAACAGTACCTGGGTTTCAGGTGTTAGGTTCGAGGGTTCAGTCTATAGGGCTTAGGGTGTGTGTATATATATATATATATATGCAATTTAACATACTATATAGTATAGTATAATGTAATCTAATGCAACATAACATATTATAATGCAATATAATAGAATATAACATATTTCAATATAATTTTAAGCTAATACAATATTGTGTGATGTAATATAATATAATGCTGTATAATTTATATATATATATATATATATATATATATATATATATGCGTTTGAGGTGGTTGTATTGCACCGGATCTGTCTTCCTGACAATTTGGCTGGGACTGCCTGGAGGAGCCTCACGCAGTTCACCCCATCGACAAATCCGATTGCCCCGGCGAACACGTGGGAAAGGCCTGCAGCCCGAAACCCTAAGCCCCAAATCCTAGCTAAGAGCGCCCTGACAACAAAAGCCTAGAAGCAAGCGCCAAAACGATTAGCAGTCCTATTCCTTCAGGGTCATGTTTTGCATGTCCAAGTTTAGACCATGATGATCCCAGATCGGCAGGTGTACCCTAGACCCCAAACGGCCCTAAGCTCCATTGTGAGCTCTGACTGCACAGTACACACATGGTTAGTGCATCTGAGCTTCGCATGCTCATCGAGCTATCTCCGCAGAGCAGGCACCAAGACCACTTTTATCAGCTGTGACGCAGGTTCTTTGCTATCTGGGTGATTCTCCTGGCGATGGCATGCTCCGTGGCTGCATTTCCAGCCTGAACCCCAACAAGTCTTAAGCCCTAGACCCTCACCCTTCGCGATCCCTTCAGAAAAATCGACAGACCTTGCAATCCTCCAGAACCTTGAACCCTTCGACACCGCAAAGCTCAAAATCTCAACGCCCTCGGTACCAAGAAAGCTAATCAGAGGCTTCTCGTCCTTTATCGGCTCGATTGGTGCCAGTGTGAATTCGCTGCTTGGTCTGAGTGTTTTGGATGTTGGTGGGTTTACCGTAGTATCTAAGGCCCACGTGTTTCCTCATAATTTGGTCTTTAGAGCTTCTAAGGGCCAAGTGTTGCCCTATAGTTTGGCCTTTAGAGCTTAGACTAGCTTGCTCAAGTTGTCCTTTCGTGCGGCGTTGGCATTCGGAGGAGTCAGGGTAGTGCCATGAGCAACCACGGTCTCAGCCCAAAGCCGTCGTGTCGGGATTCAAAGCATGCCATCAAAGCCCGGTGCCTCAAATAAGTCAGGGGCTCGAATGCTACATGCTCCCATGTGCAAAATTCTTCCTCGGGATTCCCAACTCAAATCTGAGTTATGCGATACTTCGAGTATAATCATTAAGGCCCATATTTGTTCCTACTGGTACTCTGATGTTCTAGTATTCCAAAACCCAAACCTCTCACGAAGGCCACTGCATTATCGCCAACCCGGCAATGTACATTCATCATTACTATACCCCAAAGCTCTATTCTACTCAGTACTTAGAGGTTCATGGGCCCTCAACCCTATACCCTTCTAGAATCCCTGTAGATCCCTCTAAAAGGCGCCCTTGAAGGAACCCTTATAACTATTCATAACTATACCCATGAACCTCCAAGTAAGGCCCTTTGTACCAAGCAGCCAGGATGCGCATGGCGAGGAGGGAGGAGCTGCTGCAGACCGCGAAGCTGGAAAGGCAACTTGGCCGAAGCTAGGGCCTTTTAAGGCGCCTATGTTAGGGCTTTTGGGGTTTAGGGCTGTTGGGTTTCAGGGTTCAGAGCTTTATTAGGCTGTAGGGTTTAGAGCTCTGGGGTTTTGGGGTTCAGAGCTTTAGGGAAATCGAGCTTTGGGGTTTTAGGGCTTTAGGGGTTTATGGCCTTTAGGGTTGTGGGGCTTTTAGGGCTTCACGTCCTCAAAGTCTAAACCTGAAGCCGAAAGCAGGTTTTGGGGTTTCGAACCCTGACCTCCAAGCCCTAAACCCTTTGCGGGCCTAGGCCCCCGAGCCCCAAGCCCTAAACCTTCTTGGGGCTGTAGGGTTGTAGGCTCCGGAAGCCTAGGCCATAAACTTTCCTTTTTGAGGTTGATGCTCCTAAAACTAAACCCTACACCGCCTACACCCTTAACTCTCTGTAGGCTTATGTGGCTCGAGCTCAAGTGGTACGCCGCAGACGGAAGCTACAGGCTGACGCTGAAAAGACGGGCGACCACTGACAAGAGCACCAACTCTTCGTCTGCTGCCTTGAAAACAAGGGTTTACGGCCGTTTCGGGGTTAAGGGTTTAGGGTTTAAGGGTTTACGGCCGTTCAGGGTTTAAGGGTTTAAGGGTTGAGAGTTTAGGGGTTTAGGGGTTTAGGGTTTAGGGTTTAAAGCCAGAAGCTGGAGGCCACAGAACCATTGGAGCAAAGCACTCGCGACTGCCTCCGGAGAAGATCAGATCCACCAACGTAGTAATTAGCAGTGGCATCATCATGGTCTGTGGCGATGACGGGGGAGTGTCCAGCACTCAAGTGCGTCCTCAGCTGGTTGATCAGCCACACTGATAGGCTTCGAGCGTTTTATGGCTTCGAGGGTTTTCTGAGGGTTCAGAGGTTTAGGGTTTTAGGGTTTAGGGGTTTCGAGCTTAGAGTTTAGGGTGTTAGGGTTCAGAGTTTCAGGGTTTAGGAATTTGGAGGGGCTTAGGGTTTCAGGCCCTTAAACGCTAAACCTAGAGCACAAGCCCTGTTTCGGACCCCAAGGCCTTAAACACCTTTCACCTCACGCAGCCTGCCCTCTCAGGTTCTTCATGGAGCGGAATCTCTCCGTCGACCTCTTCACGAAGGTGCAATCTGCGCCTCCCAGCCGCGTCAGATCTCAAGTTTGGAAGTAGAAACCCCGAAAGCTACTTAAATCCCATGTAAAGTCTGCAGTCGAAAAGTTTTTTGTCGAAAGGGTGAACACCCTTAAGTTCTAAATCCCACAATATCTCTGGGCAGCTCGTCTTACCTTTGCTTGTTTATCTGGTGTGCGGCCCCTTGATTCTTTAGGGTTTAGGGTGCAAAGACTGACCCCAAGTGCTTCTGAGCAATTGTGTGTACGGAGGTGCAGGGGTTTCTGGAGTTCGGCCTTCAGACCCGGAGAAGCCAAACCTTCCCTGCAGTTCTTGAACTCCCTCCAGAGAATCGACACCCGAAGCTCCTAGTCCTAAACCCTAAACGCCTAAACTTGAAGCCCTAACTCCTGAATCTCAGCTTTAAGCCCTAAATCCTAAACCCTACACCTAAACTCTAAGCCCTAAATCCTGAACCCTACACTCAAGCTTTAAGCCCTACCTAAACCCCGAACTTCAAGCCCTTAAATGCCAACACAAACCTACACCCGAAACCCAGCGAGGGTGAAACATGACGGCCTCATCAAGATGCGCCTGGAAGAGGAGGCGCACTCACCTTTAGAGCTCCTATACAGTAGAAGCCAGAAAGTTGGAATATCATTATCGTAACCCCTTTAAGGTAAATTATAGGGGATCCTACCATTAATCCATAGTCCAACTTTCTGGAGTTCCCTTTAAAGTTTAATCGTATATGGGTGGTTGTCAAAATTATGGTCCCTTCTTTGGGGTCCCTATTATAATACGGCACTTCTTATTTAGGGTACCTTCAAAGGGCCCATAATTTTGACAACTACCCATATAGGGGTTCCTATATATGGGTTCCTACAAGGGCTCTTATGGGAGGTTAAAGTATACCATCGGGATCTCATGATAATTTCGAATACTATTTTGGTGGTTCCTTTTTTTGTCATAGTACAATGGGCCCCAAAATGCCATTCTAATTATCCAGGCCTCTATATTATTGTGGTTGCTATACACTTGTCTCCGGAGCACCTCTTTGAGGCTGAAATCAGGCTTTGGGGTTTAGGGCTGTTTAGTAGGGTTTAGGGTTTAGGGGTCTAGGGTGTAGGGTTTATAGGAATTTGGGAGTGTTTGGTGGTTTTAGTGTTTGGGGTTGGTGGGTGTTCAGGATTTGGGGTGAAGGCTTCAATGCTTCGAGTCTAGGTCTACAGACCTCAAAGTACAGGGACTCAGGCAGCAGGCTTTCCCAAAATTCTAAATTTTTTTTTCAAGCACGGAAGCCTACAAGATCCTCTGAGCCCTAAACCCCAAGCCCTATAGCACTGTAAGGTTTTTGCAGCCCTGTAGAAACCTCGAGCCCGGCAACAGCCTAAAGTCCTACAAAGCACCGAGGCCCTCAGAAGAAGCCTTTGTCCGACTGGGCGCTTCAAAGCCCGTGAGTTCTTAGATGAACCAGGAAGATAGACCCCCTGAGCCCTCGGAGTAGCGGCAGGAAGTAGGCCTGATCAAGAACATTCCGGAGCGTGTCCTGTCTGAATGGCTTTGGGCTTCAGGTTGCTTTGATCTGCTTTGGTTCTAGGGCTGAAGGTTGTACGTTTAGGGCTCGTTATGCAGGGTCTAGGGTTGAGGGTTTGTCACGTTCAGATCACCAAGAAGACCTGATGCAGCTTAGACACAAACCTTGATCCGAAACCTTAGCCCCGCATCCTCCTTTTTGGATTCCATCGGGTTTAGGGTGTAGGATGTCTACCGCCTCGAAGAGAAGAGTCAGTAGGTCACGGTGTGAAAGGGGCTTCAACTTGAGCTGCAGCAGCTAGACTTGGTCTCGCATCTGCCGGCAAGACTACACACCACTGGAAAAACAAAATGAAGGGTGGCGAGCTAGATTCTAGATGACAAGAGTTATGTGGTTGGGGTGATTCCTTCTGTCGAGGCCGGTTTAAGGTGATCGGGAAGCGTGGCTGTCTGCGAAACAAGGTCACCATAAGGAACTTGGAGGATGCATGTGGCATGATGCTCAAGGATTCGGGCCCTCAAAACTTAAGCTTCAGGGCAGTGTCGGTTTTGGGCTTGGGGTGCTTACTGAACCCGTACGGTTATGCAATTAGCTGCCGAACTTCCAAACCTTCAGCATCAGGCTTTGCTTGTGCCAGCCAGCTATACCAATGACAAGAAAGCCACGACAAGGCACAGAGATTCGCGTCCCTAGGAACTGTCGTGAACACTCAACACTGAACTCTAGGCTCTACACTCTAGCCGTAGAACCTAGACCCGTTGAAGGAGCCCTTAAAGGAACCCGGAATCCTTCTGGACCCCAGCGAATCCTGCTTAAATCCTAAACCCTAGACCCCAAACCGTAAACTCCAAGCCCTGAGCCCTACAGTAGAATCCAGAAAGTTGGAACATCATTATCCTCATGCCCTTGAGGTAAAGTATGGGGAATCCTAGCACTAATCATTCTAAACCCATGTTCCAACTTTCTGGGGTTCACTGTAAGTCGCCCAGGATTCAAGATGATGCTCCACAGCGAGATGTTTAGGCCAGCACTCTTCCGCATCGGCATTTGGCCTTCACGCCTGAACGACGAGGCCAGACGCACTGGGTGGTTTTAGGGTTTTGAGGTTTAGGCTTTGTGGCTTCAGTGTTTAAAGTATCGGGTTTAAGGGGTTTAGGGCTTCAGTACCATATAAAACATAATGTAGCATAGCATAACTCGCCACTATATTACAAAATATTTTAGCATACAGTACTATGTCAATTTTGCGGTATGTGATATTGAGTGTCAACCGGACTCGAACATGGTAAACTTTAATGCAACATAACATACTGCAGTACAATATTACAACATAATGAAGTATGGCACCCTAGAGCTCTGAACCCAAGACCCTGCCCTCGAAAAGCTGGTTGCCCAAGAAGGATGGCGAGTTGATGGCCAGCATCTGCCACTCCTGCATGTGCGAGCGCGCTTGCAAACTGGGGCCTCTCATCTCCAACCACTGGAGTTTAGCTCTTTGGGGGTACACAGCTCATGGAATGTGCTACGAAAACGACGGGCCCTCTATTTGGGAATCTGATGCAGGTCCTACTACATCATGCTCTTCCGCACTGTATTCGATTCGTGGTCATTCTCGTCGTGGTAGTGGTGGCAGCATTGACAGTAGGGTCGAGGGTAGTTCAGAGTCTTCGGTTGAGGGCAAAACGATTTTGTCTTTCAAGCCCCCGAGTTCAAAAGCCCTACATGAGGCAAGACGTCTTCTTCCCACGGACCAAAGGCGGCTTTGCCTACGTCGTGCAATCTGGCACCCTCGAGCAACTCAACCTGAGGAGCTACTATAGGGGCCGAAGTAGTTACCAATACTAATTATTGTGGGGTTCCTCTATTACTAAAATCACAGTATCAAAGGCCCGCAAACCCTATCCTAATTATTAAGGCCTCTATAATACAACTAATTATTAAGGCCCCTATAATCCAACATGACTGGCCCCGATGGCCTCTTAGGATGAGTCTCTTCGGCCTTAGGATCATGTAAGCCCTAAAGTCTGAAGCCTAAGTCCTCGGAGATCCAGGTTGAAGGTTGCTTAGGGGTACTTAGATAATCTCTAAGAAACAGCTAAAATTACAGTTTTTGCTATGGTTCTAAGTTCAGTATAGGTTGATTTAAACTAGTTAATTTGAACCCTACACCCTCAACTCTAAACCCTGAACCCTAAATCCTCGCCGCCTTGTCTAGTTCATCATGTTCAAGGCATGTCGGGCTCTCCGGACTCACGCAGATGGAAGAAGCCCACTAGCCTCCAAGGGCCGAAATTACAGGTTAGATGTTACGAAGTAATACTGGTGTCTCTTTTTGGTGTGTAGACAGAAATAATGGTATCCTATACCACCCAAACCCTGCTTTACTTATTAGAGCTCCTGTATAGAACTCAAACTCCGATGCTCGCTGTGGGTAACAACTCTCACCCCAGCACATCGACTAAATTCCCCCAGCCACGAAACCGTATATGAAGCTCTCGGAGCCCTCGTAAATACTTGCAGGATCATGGGACTTAGTAAGTAAGGTTATAAGTACCTTAATTGGGGTTAGAAGTAGTTATAAGTATCGTTACCTTAATCACAACCCTAGTTGCTAAGTCCCATGATCCTTTAAGTAGGTATCTCCTGCACCACTACTCATGATTCCAGTCCAGAGGTTAATGAGTAGCTCCACAAATTTGGGTCCTTCTTCGGGTCCTCATGACAAGGGTGCCATACTATTTTGGGAAAAAAAAGGTACGCTATCCTAGAGAACTACCTCAATGATGTAGTAGTCGGTTCTCTCTCACTTCTCGCTATCTTGGTTTTCTCTATCAGGGGCCTTCATGATTAGAACAGGGTTGAGGGTGCTGTGTGTATTAATGCGCAAGGGGGCCCCTAGGAATACAGTTGCAATGCTGATGCTATGAACGAGTTTCTATTGTGGTCCCCTACCAGTTTCCGCGTTTACAAATCTAACTAAATATTGGGTCCTTGGGATTTGGACCCTTCGGGCTACGGTGAAGGTATGACGTCAAAGGCTACGTCAGCGTCACCTGCCAGCCTGAAGCTGGAACTGATGCGACCCGACAAGTAAGGTTGAGGGTTTAGGGCTTAGGGTTTTGGGTTTAGGGTTTAGGGTTTTTGATTAAGGGTCAAGGGTTTAGGGTTTTGGGTTAAGGGTTTAGGGTCATTTAGGGTTTAGGGTTTTGGATGAAGGGTTGAGGGTTTAGGGTTTTGGTTTTGGGGTTCAGGGTTAAGGGTTTAGGACCAAAGTTTAGGACGCTGGAATTTAGGGCTCAAGTTTAGGGTTGAGGGTTCAGTGTTTGGGCGTTACCTAGACTCTAGACTGTGCTACTTGGAGGTTCATGGGTGGTTAGAAGTGGGGTTACAAGTAGGGTAACATACTTATAACTCATATTAAGGGACTTATCACCCTACATATAACTACCCATGAACCTCCAAGTAGAGAAGGGGGGATGCAGTATTTCAGTCGCGTTGGGGCAACTGTTCAAGTGCAGGAGGGGTGATGGATGAGTTGAGTACGGGGGCCCGAATAACTAGCATCAACCTTCCCCTGGATTCCTGATATTATATACCCAGAGCGCAATATGCCCCAAAGCCATGTTCGATGTACTATGTCCCCTTCTTCAGGGCTTTTCGGTCGGATCTATTGATCTGCGGTTTCCGGCTTGTACTTGGGTTCCGTACAAGCGTCCGATGAGGCTTCCTACTAAGGGTTCTTTTAGGGTTCCTATCAGGGCTGTGGTTTGGGATACTTCTGACTTCAACGGTTCAAGACTTGGACGCCCATTTGGCCCTCTTGTGTCACAATGAACCCCCAAACCCTATTCGAGTAGTCTTCGAGTTAGGCCCATAGAGGCTCAGAAAAGGCCGGAAATGGTTTAAGTTCATGGCCCTGCCATGAGCGCACACGGCCCGACAACTTCCACCACTCCAACACACTACCAAAAGGCAAAAACATTCTAAACCCCTTTGAAACCTCTAGACTTTTAAGCCTTAAACCCTGAACCCGATAAGCACCCTAAAACCCTAAACCCGTAAATCCTAAAGCCTGTAAAGAATCCTATAATCCCTAAGCCTTTAAACCCCAAAACTCAGCCCATAAGCAGTAAAGCCTTCAACGGCTCCATGAGAAGCCCTCTACCCGAGAAGCCTTAAACCCCGAACTCCAAACGAGCAACACCCCAACCCCATTCAAATCCCTAAACCGAAAACACTAAACCCTCAACCCAAAACCCTGTAAGTCCTAAACCCGTAGCAATAGGTAAAGGTGCCCTTAAGGGAACCCCTTAATGGATCCTGCTCCCCTTAAAGGTGCTTTCCGTGCCAGCGCTTTGGGTCGAATGGACCCACGTCGGCCGGCTAAGCGGCGCCGGCTTTGGCGCTTGTAACTTGGACTCCGGGGACAGATGAAAGTGGAGGGGTTTAGGGGTTTGGAGTTCAGGGTTTAGGGGTTTAGAGTGTAGGGTTTTGGGGGTAGTTTAGGGAGCTTTGATGATTCGCTGTAATGGGTCCTTCCAGCTCAGGGTTTGGATTATTCGTTCGTCGCAACATTACACTCGTAGTCGTAGTACTTAGTTGGTGGTTCTTGTATCTACCTTCGTTTCGACTAGTTGTTGTGCCTGTTGTGCTTGGGGGCTCATGGGTAGTTATAAGTGGGGATATACGTAGGGTAACTATACTTACAGCTCATATTAGGGAACTTATAACCCTACTTATAACTACCCACGAAACTCCAAGTGCTCTTGTTGCTGATCTGGTTCTGCTGGTTCTGCCGGTGCTGTCATGGTTGCGGGATCAGAGCAAACTTGTGTCGCGATTGTTGTTGAACTTGTGATGGCGATGTCCTTAGCCCAAACCCCGTCATTTCGGAAAGTCACGGCTGCAGGAAGCGGGTAAGCCCTGCATGAATGTAACTTTGATGCCCTCGCCCGCTTGATGCAGGAACTCTGATAGAATATGTGATGGACTCACGATTGCTGCTACATATGTTGTGTCACAGTTTAAAGACAACGACCTGACTCTTGCCGACCGGCCTGACCCATGGGTTTGGGATTCGGGTGTATAAGGTCAAAGGATATGGAGTCTAAAACAGGTACGCATGGCTCGGGATATGGGGCCTAGTGGAATCTGCAGAGCCGCTTTTAACCACGAAACGTCCTTCCCGTCAGTTGTCCCCGAACCCGGTTCCCAAACATGCCGAGACTGTGCTTTTGAAAAGCTAGAGGGGCCCAAAACGACAGTACCGAGCAAGAAGCTTCCAAGGCAACTACGTCTCGATCGATGCGGCCGAATTCTGCTGGTTAGCCCTTCGCTGGGGTGGTCCCTTGTGCGAGTATCTGAAGACGGTTGGCTTACTGAGCTCGGGCCGCAATTGAGCCGGAACCTGTGCCCGATGCCCAAGATGTGTCCGAACTCTTCTTGGTGTCTAGTTTAGGGTTCAGGATTTAGGGTACATGGCTCACAATTGCCCGAGAACCTAAGAACTTGGCCCACAGCTTTGCAAAGACTCTTATCGACACTACCGTCTTTTCTGTTAGTTTATAGGAACCCGGGTGCATTCTAGAGGCAAGTGTGCTATCTTGTCGCAGCTTGCCCCTGAGATGTACTTCCAACGCAATCCCCAAACAAATACCTGTGCCCAACCACAGAAACTGTACATCAAAATTACTGGGCGCTTTTGTGCTTCATGCTGAGCGTGCGGTCCCCCTACCGGACAAGTCTGTCCCAGGTTGAGGGCTCAAGGTTGCAAGGTTTGGGGTTTAAAGCTCAGGGTTTCCAGGGTTTAGGGTTTCGTGGGGTTCATGTTCAACAGATGTCAACAGCAACATGCACCAAAATCTTACATCGAAGTTCAGCCCCTCCCACATCCTCAAATAGAAACGCCTCGTCATGTCTCCTCTAAGGCTTGGTTAATGGCTATCGTGCTCCAATTGGGGTTCACCCATAGGCCCCATAGTAGTTCCTGTTGGGGTTCATATGTAGAATCCTAAAAGGTAGTTCCTAAAAACCTGAGTCCTACCTGGGCGGAGCAGCCAGGCAACTGTTGAAATCTGTTCTGGCACTGTAGTGGCAGGCATTTCAGCTCGCCCCTCGACCCGCCCCTCTGAAATCCCTAAGTCCAAGGTTACTTAAAGGATCATGGGACTTAGGGCTATCATTAGGGTAACTATACTTATAACTACTTATAACCCCAATTAAGGTACTTATAACCTTACTTACTAAGTCCCATGATCCTCCAAGTATGCCCGCCAAGGATCGTTCAAAAGATCGAGGCCTTGAACGAGAAGGGCACCAGAGCGCTCTGTCCGAGCTGCGACATCCCACTGCCACTAAACCCTGGCCCCGGTAGATGGTTGTCTTTCCCTCATCAAGCCGAAAAACCCTAAACTCAACACCCAAATTCCTAAACCCAAAGCCCTAAATCTTAAACCCCGAACCTTAAACCCCAAAGAACTTCTCAGTGGAAGCCCATGTAGTTCTGCTCCAAGAACCCGCATCATCAAATCTGTGTCTGCTTTAATGTAGCCCATGCTGCTGTTGTTTTGTATACTATATTGTACGTAGGGTTTGGGGTTTAGGGTGTACCCACTTTCAAGTTTTCCGGAGTATGCATATACTGTGTTGTAGGGTTTAGGGTTTAAGGCTAAGGTGTACGCAGAAACGAATACTCCAAACTGTCAATATACTGCATTGTTCTCCACTATCCTTTTCTAATCAATAATTAAGGCAGCTACAGGCATAGATCGGATGGATAAGTGAGAGTTCCGGAATCAAAAGTGGTCCGAAAAATGGATCCGCAATAGCCGGATCCTCCATAGTAGGATCCCTAGCCCCTACTTTCTGAAACCCCAAGTGTGTTCAAAACAAGATTACGAAAGCGGGCGACTCAGACTGCTTCCATACCCGTTGAGCGTCCGTATGAGCACAACCTCTACCTGTATCCCCCCAAAAAGGCCTTACTTACTGTCCTTATAGTGGTGTCTCCAGATCAGTTTTCAGAAAGGTAGGCATTTTTGGGCTGCTGGTACACCCCAAAACATCCAAAAGCCATCCTGGTCATTCGAGCCTGACGTCGCCGTAATTACCATGAGCACCTTCCTTCCCCGCGAGGACCTTGTAGGACGAAGCCTTACTACCTTAAATCGGAAACCACCCGAAACCCTGATTGAGCTTTTGAAGCCTCATATGTAAAGGCTTGATACTATTCCTTAGGGCTCCTGATTCCATAACAGCATATAGCATCTATACCCCGAGGCCCTGCTCTATTTATTGCGCCCCTATGTTGAACTCTGTGTGGCAAACGATTTCAGGATAAGGGTTCATACCTCTCCAATGAGTCAGCACGAAGGTCACCGACATTTTCGATGCGAAAGAGCTGAAGTTGCAAACGCAGCTTGGTTCGCTTGAAGCTATGAGGGGTAGGACTTTGAGGTTTAAAGTTTGACACAACAGGTTGAGGTAACGTCTGCTGTCTTTTAATTTCCCCAAAATAGATGCCAACAGGCAGTTGAGGGTTGGAAAGCCATGGCCCCAGCCGCGAAATGCACTCCATAACCTACGGGTGCTTAAGGGAGAGTGGAGGGGGCGGGAAAAATTACGGCTAACTCGTGACTGATTTCCATAAGGGATTGCATAAGGACAACACGAAATAGGGTTCTGCACACCTCGCACCCTGGTGTGCCGAACGCATGACACGCCTTGGACCGTAGATCCGACTCTCAGGGCTTGATTCTTCCTAGGGGTATTTAGAAACATTTTTTATTTTTGGTTATTTTCATCCCTAAGAAACAGCTAAAATTACAATTTTTGCAAGGGTTCTAAGTTCAGCTGAGTTCATTGAGACATGTGCCGAAAAGAGCACACAAAGCCCACCAAAAGCCTGGACCCGAAGCCTGACAGCCGTGAAGCCCTAAAGCCTTTAATGAGCAGTTTAAACCCTAAACCCAGTCCTTGTAAGCCCCCTCAGCCCAAAAAAACCGAAAGCCGTTCAACTTAACTCGTTATAGACGAAGCTGAAATTACTAGCGAATTTACTCCTTAGGGTTCCTGCTTGTAGGCATAGTAAAACATACCCCAAAGCCCATTCTAATTCATCAGGCCCCTGAATACCGTAAACCCTGAAGCCCTAAACCCCTAAACCCCTACGCCCTATCCCCAGAGGCCTCGAACGCGACCCCAAAGCCCTAATCTAATTATCGAAGCCCGAGGCTGATCCCCCGGGCGGAGCAGTTCGTGAATCTGAAGCACACGGCAAGCCGTCGTTTCACCGGGAGGGACCGCACCTTCCAGACTTGAGTTTTCCGCCGGTTCGTGGGGTTTAGGTTTCGGTCCAGGGCCCTAAACCCCACATAGACGCCAGTCGCAGGTACCAAAAATGGGGTACCAGGGCAATAGAAAATCAAAAGCGTCAGGGTGTCCCACACAGGTCTGCCAAGCAGAAGCCTCTTCTGGGCTCTTGTTGCAGAACCTAATGTAATAATTACCTATATGACCGTGGGGTTCCTTGTTGGAACTATCGTGTGAGTTGCCAAATAAGGAAGCCATACTGCTTAAGTTATCATGATAAGGAAGCCGTATTATTTCCTATAGATCCCTACGTATTCTTATTATGGTAGCTTCAGTTACTATAGCGGCCTAAATGATTACCAATACTATTTTGGGGTTCCCTATCATAGTTATAGTATCATGGGCCCCAAAACCCTGTTCTAATTATTAAGGCCCCTATATTATGCTCACGGACAAGCGCCCGGTTGTGTAGCAGGTCGAAGGTTCCGCAGCTTCGTTGCCGAGCGAGGTCTAGTCTCCAAGATTCCCCAAGCAAGGGCCTAGTTTAGGGGATTAGGGTTTAGGGGTTTAGGGTAGAGGGGTTAGGGTTTACGGGACTGAGATTGCTAATGACAGGTGGTACTAGAGGGCTGACTGCTATGAGGCTATATCACGCAAACATAAGTATGAACAGGCTCCTAAGCGGGTTCTGCGCTTTTCACCAGTCATTGAAGCGTCGGCGCACAGGAGAAGGTCGCCTCCAGAACACATGGGTAGTTCTCTGTATTGGGGTGCCTTTTAGTGTCTTTTCTGTTGGGGTGCCGAACTATTCTGGCCCTAAGCAGGGACCCTAGTTTACAGAATGGACTACATGTGTATTATATACAGATACATATGTATGTATATATGTCTATATAAATGTAATTTGCATATATACACGTAACTGTATGTATGTGAGAGTTGCAAGCACATCTCATTCTTTATCATCGGGGTATTGTTTGGGCCCAAGTCGGGCACAGCTTGTTTGTTGTCCTTGGCCTATGCCAGCATACCGTAAGATTACAGACGGGGTAGTGCGGGGCCTTGAACTGTTTTTCATTATTGGTCCGCAGGGTTCTTCATTGTCTGATACTGTATTATATCCCAAAATCCTATTCTAATCGAGGCTCCGACAGTATCTTGAGTCAGTCTTGCGGCTACGAAGGTTCGGCTCAGGCGATTCAAGCGGCGAAGGAATGGTTATGCTGCTGTAGATGCGTCTAGTAAAGCGGGTTTATGGCCTAACTCTAGGGGAGGAGGATCCTTCACCATTCCCTGATAGCCGATCTGATAGCGCCCAATGTGGCGATCTTTTGCATAGACCTGCGCAAGGCGCTTGCTGTTGCGCGTGGTGTAAAGAAGCAGACAGCCTGAAGCATGCGCCATATGGGTGGTTGTCAAAATTAGGGTCCCTGTTTGGTCCCTTTTTGGGTCCATAATACAATACGGCACCTAGTATTTAGGGTACTCAAAATGGGGCCATAATTTTGGCAACTACCCATATAAATTTCAGATCAAGCAGATCAAGCATTCTACAATCAAAGCGGCCACATGTTGCCTGTACATCCCTGAACCCTATACCATACAAACCCTAAACCCTGGGAGATGTCGGGAATCCTCTAAAGCCCCCACAACTGTTTTCCCATTAAGCTGGTATTGTCATAGTAGTCCGGTATCATGAGTACCTTCATGGGAGCCCGGTCTCGAACATCCCCCACGATGTTGCGTCAGCTTCAGCGGTGTCATGCCATTAGCGGTCTGGGCAGTGGGCGTCTGTGCGCTTTCAGATTCAGATATGTAGCGTTTTTGCTCCCCCGCAATTATGATGAGGATGGCGGATGATGTTGCAGGACGATTAGGATGTTGATGGTCTCATGAATGGCAATGAAGATTGCGATGAATGCGGGCATGCCGTTGCAACGATGGTAATGGTGTGGTGGTAAGCATAACCACGAGCAACATCATCATCTTCTGCTTCACTGCATCATCACCACAGCCAGCAAAATTTAATAGCCACAGCAACAGCAGCAACATAAATAGAAACAGCACTGGCAACTACCACATCAACAGCGGCAGTGATGCCAGCGACGGCAGCACCTACAGACCTCTCATAATCAGCAGCGCCAGGATCAGCATCTACCATCAGCAGCATGACGGATGTTGTTGGGAATTTGTTGTTTATTATCGTTCTTCTGCCTCAGGCCACCCCGCGGACCCTGAACCCACATGCCGAACCCCCTAGAGCTTTGCTGGAGGTGGCAGCGGTGGTGCAGCCTGCACGGAAAGCAGCTTGGGAGAGGTCGAGGGAGCGAGAAGCCAACTTCTCAAACACCAAAGGAAGTGACTTAGTGTTTAGGGATTTGTCGGGCTGGGGTGTTTCGGGGTTTAGGGATTAGGGATTTCGAGTGTTTAGGGGCTTGTCTAGGTGCATAGTTTCAGCAGAAGTTTTCAGCAGAGGCAGCAGTACCGGTACACATAGTACTAGTCTATAGTCTATGGTGCTTTCGGATCCCTAACCCCATCAAGCTCGCCACGCTCTTCAAGACAATCCGTTCATCCACCAGCCCAAGACCCTCGCGAGCTACATGTGCGTCTTCAGTTCTAGATCTAACACGATTCGAGAGTTTCGGATGTTGAGGTGTAGAGCTATGAAATCCTTGAAGGTAACGGATCAACTGAAGGATGGAGCTTTTTGATCCTCTGATCCTTGTGCGGAAGACCTTTGCGCTTTGGTGGGCTCAAGGTTCCGGGCTTGAGGTTAGGGGTTTAGAGTTTTGGGGTTAGGGGTTTAGAGGTTTGTTCTATTGTCTAGGGTTATAGGTTCAGGATTGAAAGGGCTCAGAAACCCTAAACCCTAAACCCACACCAGTGGGTTTCGCCGACCTTAACTGCTAGGCGGATAAAGGTGCTCAACAAAAAACCTAAGCCCAAACCCAAAAAAGTTCGGGCTGCAATGCCAAGGGTTCGAAGGCCCTCGACGGATCGACTTGGAGGCGTCGAAAAACTGACGTCCCTACCCAAGAACCCTTTTAGTGGTATAGGGTTTAGGGTTTAGGGCCAAATTCCGGGTTCCACTTTCCTTTCCGGATCGTTCTAAACTTCTGGATACCTGGGGCTGCTCTGTAAGTTGAGAGCCTTGCCGTTTTTGATCCCTTGGTTTCGGCTTGATAGGTTTGGATTAGCGCCCATGTGTGAAAAAGAGCTCCCACGCCCTGCCCACCGATGATTCAACCCGACGACAGCCATAAAGGCAGAGCAGTGTCACCGCTTTCTTATGTACATACTTTTGATGAGGAGGTTGTTGAGGGTCAGGGATGATCCCTGCAAGTCTTCTAAGCTTGCCCTCAACCCCCTATCCACCGAGCTGAAGACCTCTCGCCCAATACCATCTCGTCGTTTCGAGGCTTCCAGCGCTTAGGGCTCTTAGGATGTCGACCGGACCCTTGTCCGAACTGTCTTATATGATAATGCCGCGTGCCGTAGCCCTGCACCAGACTATGCGCCTGAGAAATGCAGGGACCTCCGATGCCTGTTTTTGACACTCAGCCCTCCTTAACAAAGACCCAGAGACCCCAAAACCCCTTGATTCAGGAATATCCCGTAAATCATAATAGGAACCCCAATAAGAGCTAAGGTGATTGTATGCCTTAATTAAGGGGTTTCGAGAAAAGCCCTGCAGCTCAAAGTTTCAAGCCTTGTATAGTGTGGTGTAGGGTTTATAGGGTTTAAAGTTTATATTACAGGGACTGTGGCATGATCCTTAGAGTAGATAGTACATGGACTGTAGGTGTATGCTGGCATGAACTGACCATTCTAGGTTTGACCCTTGAGATTAGGAAGACCCGATTTCAACCTCCTGGCTTTGCCTAATTCGCTCACCGGAAGTGGGGCCAACTCTCCACGAGATCCCCTTGCCGAGTGGTACAAGGACCCTGCCTCCGGGTGAAGTTGCTCTATTCTTATGTTCAGGCTGTCAGGCTGGTTTAGCGTCTACAAGGTTCACGGTTTACTGAAGGGGTTTCTTGCTCAGGGGTTGTCTGCAGCACATTTTGAAGCAAGACATTCTCCTTCCCTGACCCCTCGCAACCGCCTTGACTGTCCTCTTGTTAAGGACTTTAGTTTAAGTTACCATAGCAAAGAAACCACACTATTTACTATAGATCCCTATTATTAGGGTAACTTGATGTAAATCGTATTTTCCTTAGCAAGGACCCAGTTGAAACGACTTTGGTTCCGGTTTCCTCAAGCACACAGACGAGCCCTAGGCCTCCTCCAACCCACCCCGAAGCTCCGGAGCTCCAAGCCTTCGAAAGCTACAATGGGTGGGGTTGTGGGGCACCTTATAGGGTTCCCTTAAAGGGTTTTTATCAGGGTACTGTAAGGGTTCCTTTAAAAAAAGGGCTCTATAAGGGTTAAGAGTTTCCGAAAATTGGGATACCTTGTTTTGGGATCCATATAATCGGGATCCTACTATTTAGGGTGCTATATGGGAGTTTCCGGAAATAGGGGACCCAAATATAGTATCCGAAATAGTAGGCTCCTTATTGTAAGGACCCCAAAATAAGCTACCCCTATTTTCGGAACCTCCTATATTCGGGTCCCCTCTTCTCGGAAACCCCCCACATAAACTAGAGGCCCCAGAAAGTCGGTGCATCACTGTCTATCCGCATGGTCTCCATGTAAAGGGAGGGAGCTCCTACGGTTGATGATATAAATCCTGCATGACCCATAATAAGGAATATACCGTAATTCCCATAGTTTAGGTTCCTTAAGGTAATGCAGGATTTATATCATCAACCGTAGCACTAATCATCCAAAGCTGATGTGCCACATTTTTGTGCTCAGCTTGTGGTGTGAACCCAAAATACAGGTCTGCATCTTTAGTAATGATATCCCCTCATAGTCTCCGTGTAGGTATAGCACCATATCAAATTTCATTATACCTCAAAGACTATTCTAATTCCTCACACTACATCACCACATATATATAT